GTAGTCATCCCTCAGTATCTACAGGTGATTGGTTCCAGGTCTTTTTTCCATTCCAAAATCTGTAGGTGCTTAAGCATTGTATATCAAATGGGGTCATATTTGCACATAATGTACCCACAACATTCTTTATACTTGAAATTCTTTCTAGATTACTTGTAATACATAATACAATGTAAATGCTACATAAATTGTTGTTATGCTATGTCTTTTGTTTGTGTTATTTTGTATTGCTATATTTATTTGTTTTGAATATTTTCAATCAGTGCTTGGTTAAATCTGCAGAAACAATCCATGGATTCTGAAGATTGACTGCATATGCATTAAATCATAGACATCTATGTAGTATTGTATCTTACTTAACAATGATATATGAATCTAGAAACCAAGAGATAGAAACAGGAGAGTTTCTAATTACCATAATTTTCAATTAGCAACTGGAGGACTTTGATCTCTTCTTCTTCTGGAAGAATTGGAGGTATGGACTCCCCTAAAAGACACACTTTTACAATGGAATATTCCAAGAATCTCTTTAGACATTGTGTCCGTGGACCAGCAGATGAGAAGATAATTCACCATCATGGCTTTTGTAACACAATGAGGGCAAAAAGTCATATGTGTGGAAACCAGGTGATGCATTTAGGTACTTCGTATACTCAGCTGGGCCATTATAACTGAAATGGACTGGTGCAACAACCTTGATTTGAGAAGCATATGATTGTCCAGGGTTCAGACACATCACAAATGAATGTTTGGATTACAGCACCAGGCAAGCCACCAATATCTACCAAAGTAATATATGAGGTTGAGAGGACATCTAAGTAAATAGTGTGGGAGAAAGAGGATAAATACCATTTGTGACCAAGAGATCAGATTCAGTGACATGACAAGGTTGGATTTTGTTCTGCTAACCTTCCTAAGTGTCACTTCAGGAAGAGAAAACATAGACACCGTGAAGTTGCTATGTAAGTCTACATAGAGCAGTAGAACTTTGCATCAAAGACATAGTGTTGGTGGCCACAAAAAGGTCTCAGTAGCCTCCTTTTGGGAGTTGTAATCATATTCTCACAAAGGCCATACTTTCATCAAATGGCTGACTGAGCATGGTAATGGGACCCTTACAGCCCCTTTGCTGCAAAATGTGGCATTCTTCCAATGGATGACTTTAGCTTGAGAGCTCATCCTTGTGCTTCCCAAAGGATGTGGATTATTCACATTTTGACGCCTACCTTACATTCTACACTAATGTAAATTTCATACATTAAATGAGCAAACATCATAAATAAAAGAAACAAAAACTAAATTAAACTACAGAAAATATAAATTAGAACATGAATTTATCTGTTTGTGGACAATTTCAAAATTGTATACAAATAAAAATATAATAGAAACAGAAATTAGTTGGTAGAAATCAAAGCATGACATTTTGAATGTGATACAAAATCAAGCATAAACATAAAATGCAAAAAAAAATGAGGGGCACTATTTGTCACATATCTAACAGACTGCAAACCACTTTTAAAGTTGTATAAAAACAATAAATGCTCCAGTTGAAACTTGGAAATGTTAATGAGTATACACAATTTGAAAGGCTAAAAATATATAGCAATTAATCGTGCTAAAATATATTTCACTTGATGCTTAGAATAATTCAAATAAAAACACCAATCGTTTTACATTTCTCCTTTAAAAAGACAATTATTTATCAAACATAATAAAACCAGGATTAGTGAGTATACCAAAAAATATAAAATATCCTATACGGAAAATTTTCTCTTCTATATTTTTTTCTTAGTCTCTACTAATGCCTTTATATGAAACAATATTCACTAAGTTTTATTTTGGCTATGAGAATTAGAAAGAGCATACATATCTGAAAATAGCAAATGAGTTTAATATATTTTAATATAACCTTATCAAAAAAGCTATATTGTCATAGAGATTCCAATGAGAAATACAAAAGTGTTCATATTTGGTTGAGTGAAAGTTTAAATATACAAAGTTGAATATTCACTTGTTTCTATTTTTTAAAATAAGATCATATTCATATTGGCAAAGATCATATAGACGTATATATGTTTGTGTGTTAAGTTCATATTGTTTTTTTCCCAGTTGAGTGGCTTATTGATGTGTTTAAATAAAATGTGTATCCTGGGAGTGGGCAGAATTTTAGTTCTCAGATTTTTGCAAGCTTATTTTGTAAGAGATTAAGTGAATAGACAGACATCATTGAAAAAAAATCCCCTGGACCTCCTTTCTTTTCCCCTAGAAAATGGAATGATCATTTTCATTGAGAGCTATTTGGTAAAGCAAAATTACTTGCTTGGTTTTCATCCATCAGAAAGCTGTTATGTACCCCAAACCAGAGTAAAAAGCACCCCATAGGGTTCTTTGGGTCTCTGTGTGCTGTACAAATGTTGGCATGGCTTTTTCTTTTTTTAAAGAGCAGCACATGGTGTAACTACATAAAATGGTTCCTAAAGTCCAGTAAAATATTGGTCTTAGGATACTAGTGATTGCAGAGCTAGCACTTTTAGCAAACCAATAAGGCAGAAACACTAACGTTTATTCTAGGAAAGAGACAAAATGTGTGAACAAAATTGGGTTAAAAATGAACCTTTCACAAAGCAAGAAAGCAAGATCAACACTGAAATGAAATATTCTATTAATACATTGTGACATTATGTCTGCTTACCACCAATAGGACATATTTATAAGTTGATAGACTAAATAATTTCCCAATTCTTTAATATAGAAAGACTTCTCCATTAATTAGCTCCTGATATTAACCAGTTTTTATTTCATTCGTTGGTAGGAGGAGTGGGTAGTAAGTCAGGATTGACGAGGACTGGAGAGCATTTTAAGATATTGTTACATGGAGAATATCGGTTTTAACCTTTGTGAAATCAGAGAATCAGTAACTTTGGCTTTACTATTATGCTCGGAATTTCTCTCCTCTGGCTTTTGTCTTGCCCCTGGTAGAGAAGTTTAACCTTTTAATATTTAACAAGTCTATTTCTGGGCTATTAAGAGAGATTAAGAAGGAAGCGTTGAAAAGCAATGTTATTAATGTGATCTGAAATTTAGTAGTGGCTAGAGGCTGAGCTGGGGATCAAGTGTTAGGATTTACAATTACAAGAATAATTTACCCTGCCGCTCCTTAACTCTCTCCACACACACATATATGTGTGCATGTACACACGTATATAAGTGCATATACATGTACTCCACACACCCACAGCCACATCTCCCCCTCCCCGCCCCACACACCCCCCTACACACACAATGTTCAGTTGATAATTCAGCGGACAGCTTCTGGGAATAAAATATATCTATACTCTTAGTGTCTAGACAGATAATAAATATGGAGAAAAGAGTAAAAACATCATTGTTTCACAAGTCGGTACAGAGAAATATCTCTAAATAACAATGTGTTTTACTGCTTTCTGTTCCCTTGTGGGACAGAAAATAGGAGGACCAAACGCCTGGAATGTTTTTATCGACTCCAGGCTGAGGAAGTATTGGCTCAGGGCCAAAATATCTCTATCAGGAGAGGCATATGGTCTTGTCAGACAGCCATTGAATTCTGGTTAAGCAATTATAAGTTGAAATAACAGATTTGAGAAGATAAAGTACCTTTGTTTAAGAGGGGACGATGAGAACAGGAATCTCAGGCTAGACATGTGAAATTCTGAGTGAAGGCAGGATGAGGAAAGAGAAAAGCAGAAATGTGAATTGTTGGACTTAGCTTGAAAGTGGAAAAGGGAGCAACCAGGAAACCTCCCAGGATGTGGTTTTGAAGCTGCCACCTGACTGCGAAAGTCAATGATTTAGTAGTATGATTTGGAAGACCGCTAGATCCCTCTAAGTTTATCTATTTGTCATAAGGACCCTCCCATTAGTACCTTCCAAAATGCATTCAGTTTAGTTCCTCAGACCTCTTATTTGTCTTGTGGAAAAATGACACATCAATGAAAACCCATTACTCCAATCAATATTTCAGGAAGCCTGGAGACTATGTGCTAGCTACAGACAATCTATGTAATAGTCCCAAAGGAAAGGTGGGCATTACTTTCTCATCATTTTATAGACATAGATATTTTATCTGAAAATATCACACCTATCATTTCACTAATAAGGAAGTGCTCTTTGATTGAGGAAAGTATTGATAGTCTGATGAAAAAGAAATGACACATCCAGGGGAAATAAATATCCCACACAGAATATAGAATAATTACTGGAGAATAGTTATCTTTAGAAGAAGTAAAATCTCAGGAAGGTCTCTGTAAATGATATTGTGTAATTCCTCTTGAGATTTGCAGCCAATTTCAGCCCTTACACACTCATTCTAATATTTCCACTTTTCAGTATTGACACTTCACCACCATTGAGTTGCTTCTTTGTGTTCATTACAGACTTACTTTTGTATTTAGGAGTATACATGTTTCTAAAACATTCTCAGAATGTATTACTTCAGATGCTTCTTCTCTTAGACACATATGTATTCAACCATCTATTTCTCTACCTAGCTTTTTAATTGCCTACTAAACTGTCTGTGTTGTATCATTCATCCATCTCTCTATCTCATTATCTTTTCATCATCTATCTACACCTATTTTTACCTCAGCAAGAGTTGCCTAAGGTAAACTTTGATGTGAATGGTTTTTCTTTGGTTGTTTATGAGATTTTGAAAGCTCTGCAATCTTCTACTGAATAATGATAAACATTTGATTCCCTATTATAACAATTCTCTACTTTAGCAACAGGTAGAGAATAGGCAACCTTTATGATTTTGTATCATTCTAAAACATTTAGGTACATTGAAGATGATATGCAAAATCCAGGAATGATCAGTAAAATAATACCAAAATTATTTTATATGGAGATGGTCACTGAAATATGACTATCATTGTGTGCCATCATTTGTCTTGTTGGGTAAAGCCTCTTGGTTAGTTTTTTTATTTTTTTAATTTTTATTTTATTTTTTATTTTTTCCAAGTTCAGGTCAGGTGAGTAACGTGCCAATGTTGCAGCAAGGTCCTGAGGGTGGCACATCTTACACAAGCATGTGAGCACCCAGTCATCATGCTCATGAACTACAAAACGATCAGTTAGTTTTAATATTAGCCTGAACTCAAAACATTTACCCTTATATGAAACTTCATTTTCTCTAAGCTTGTAGTGAAAATTATTCTTAAATTAAATGAATCTACCATCATTGAGGTTGAATTAATTTTATTCTTGATAGGATGAAACTATTTTTCTTATTAAGTTAAACTCGTTTAAGGCCTGCGCAGAATACTTAACGATAAAGATGAAAATTCCTGAGGTAGAGTTAGATCTGATAGCTTTATGTTCTTAAAATCTTCTTTGTTAGTTTTAATCCGTTCATATATTTCTCACAAATGCAATTCAGTGTTTGAAGCAAACTTAATTACTGAAAACCTTAGTGTACAAGAAATTTTAAACAATGTTTAAAAATACCTGTGAGATGTGAAGAAATTATGTAGAATGTTATAGGAAACCATACACAGGAGACTAAGATGAATATTTATTTACTCAAGGGAAAAATGTGTAATTCCTCTTGAGATCTGCAGAATTACTTGATATGGGCTACAATCCTTTTCAACATTATGAAACACATAATTCTTGGAGCTTTAAAGGTACTTAAAGCAAAAATGTTTAGAAAATATGTATTGCTTATTTCCAATTTATACCTGCATTTACTATGTTTTATAGATTGCAAATATATTGGTTTTCTAATTTGTACAGTATTTCAAAAGTTTTACTTTATCAGAAACATTTTAAAAATATGAAGCATGCTTTATATCTTTACATCTAATATTTTATCTCAAGAAGTAGAGACGTAATTTTAATAATATTGTCAGTGTATATTTTACATCACCCTGTCTCCATGTTTCTAGGTAAGTGGAAAGAGAAGGATATGACACTGGGAATCAAGAAGGAAGAGGGGAACTTTTTAAAATTTAGTGGTTCCTAGAATGAGAGAGGTGAAAAAAAAATGGAGAGAGGAAAATAAAACATATATGGCTCCTTTTAGATCAGAATGCCTGTTATTGGGGTTAAGAGAACAGAAACGACTAGATAGATAGATAGATAGATAGATAGATAGATAGATAGATAGAAAGATAGATAGAAAGATAGATAGAAAGATAGATAGAGACAGACAGATACTATGGGCTAAATTGTGTTTCTCCCAAACTCATATGTTGAAGCCTTCACCCCCAGTACCTCAGAATGTGACTGTATATGGACATGGGTCTTTAAATAGGTAATTACGTTTAAATGAAGTCCTTAGGGTAGGCTGTAATTCAGTCTTATTGAAGGTCTTGTAACAACAGGAAATTTCGACATACAAAGAGACACCAGGTACATGCATACACAGAGGGATGACCCTGTGAGAGACACTAGAACAGCAGCTGTCTGCAAGCCAAGGAGAGAGGTCACTGGAGAAACTAACATGGCTGACACCTTGATAGTGAATGTCCAGGCCCCAGACGTGAGAAAATAAGCCATCCAGTCTGTAGAACTTTGTTATGGTATCCCCAGCAAGCAAATACAATAGCTATTTGCCCCTTTTTCTCCATTTTAGAATGTCTCTCTCTGTCAATCTGCATCAGGCTCAGCAGAAAAATCTGTTGCCAGGAATTAAGCCCCAGATTTCCCCAGGCTCCTGTAATTTAGAAAAAGGAGTGTTTTCCTTTTTTTAATGTATATTTCTTGTGAGAGACACAGAATGTGGCAATGGACCTGTTGTGAAGATCCCTCACTGTGGTAAGGGGTAAGGTGACCCCACAGTGGAGGCTATGATACAGGATGGCATAAGTCATAAATGCAGTAGAAGATGTGACCGAATCACAGAAAACCTGCAGTGTTGGCCAGAGCTGATCAGCAGAAGCTGGCAGGGAACCTGGTATTTAATATGACATATTGTCACAGATACTACCAAAGTCCCAGAGGAGAAAAAAGGACAGACACGTGGATCCGAGGACACCACCTCTTAGAAGTGAAGGCATGTAAGCTTTTCCCTTAATACAGATGCCAAGTTAGGAAGAAATATGGAAGCGGAAATCTTTTAAAGCTATATATTTACAAATTACTAAACAGAATGTTTAAAATGGAAGACACTATGAGATTTCAAAATCACAGTAGTGAGTCAACTGTCCCTATAATGCCCATAGTACTCTGGTCTAAGAAGAATCTGGCATGACAGAGATAACTTGTTTTTTGGTTTAGTCAAGTATGCAATCAAATAAACCACAATTCCCTATATACGCCCACTATTTATATATAAAAACAGGGCCACATTATAAGTACATGCTTCTCTTTTGTTCAACTCATAAAAGATAGTGTTAAACTAGGTCATTACAAGTATTTGAGCAATTGAAGTTGCTACATCAGTGATGTTTGAGTTGATATTAAAATAGCACAACATATTTTACATTTTACAAGAAATTAAGTCTGACAGATGGGAAGGAAACAAGTCGAAATGGTGACTAATCACTAATCCACACTGAATAGAAGTTCTAGAGGAGCTTAAGGACTGCCAGTGTCAGCTACAAATGTCTTAGCAAATGGAGTGAATGTGTCTTCAGTGTGGAAGCAAAAATAATGCCAATTATATGAAGTTGAGGAAGCAGAGAAAGGAAAATAAAGATGGTGGAAAAAAGCACAAGAGAGAAAAATTAATAACTACTATTACTCATCCCTTATTTAAGTTATAAAATTGCAGAGTGAGAGATCCAAGATGGCTGATTACTAGCAGCTCAGGATCGTAGCTCCCAGTGAAAGTGCAGAGAATGAGAGGACGCCACACTTTCAGACGAATTTTTGTTGCTCACGGACCAGGAGATTCCCAACGGAGGAGCCCCACGGGTTGCCAGTGCGACTCTTGTGGCCGGCTGGCAGTTTTGGTGGTGCCCTGGTGCAGCGGTTCTCAGTGCAGAGTAAACAGGACTGGGTCCCCTTTTGGTCGACATTTGGAGCTCCAGGAAGGCAGAGTTGCCCATTCAGCTGATTGAAAAAGGGACTCAAGAGGGGAGCCAGATGGAGATTCCCAGGCAGAAAAGCACCAAGAATCTTAACGTCGCTGTTTTAGCTGGTGCAGTGGGTTGCTCAGATTTCTGCACTGGGAATCAACAAGTTGGACGTCCACTCAGAGACCTAATGTGAAAGTTAGTAATTACAAAGACGACAGGTGGATAAATTTACAATGATGGGAAGAAACCAGTGTAAAAAGGCCTTGCTGATTTTATAACTTGTTCTTTGACTTTAGACAGTCTGCTTGTAATGTGACATAGCAAAATCCTTTTGACCTTGTATTTTCTTAGGGACTAATAAGCCTATTGTACATGAAACTCTAACTGTCATAATATACTAGGGAAGTTTTTGTTATGCCATTAAATGAGCTTTTTAAACCTTTAGATCCCTCTTTACCCATGAACATAGTCATAATTCATAAATACGGTTGCTTTATCTTGTCTTAAGCTTCTGGAAGATTTAAAAAGTGTTTTTAATTCTTTTTTTAAATTTTTGTTTGACTAAGTTCTTTCAAATAAACTGTTTTTCAATTCTGAAATTCTTCCTTCTGCAAGGTCTAATTTATTGCTGAGACTTTCAAGTGTATTTTGTGGTTACTTCAATAATTTAATTTCTTTTTAGTTACAGAATTTTAGTTTTTTTTTTTTTAATAGCTACCTCTTTGGTAAATTTCCTATTTATAATTTGAATGATTTTTTTTTTAGCTCTTTCTGTTGGTATTCAGATTTCCTTGCATCTTATTGAGCATCTTTAAAATAAATATTTTAAATTTTTAATATCAGATTTTAAGAATTTAAATGTAGTTAAAATCTATTGCTAGAGAATTGTTGTTTCTGTAGGGTGTCACATATCCTGCGTTTTATGTTTCCTGGGTCTTTACATTGATTTCTGCACATGTGGTGTAACAGTCACTTTTTCCTATTTTTGAGTTTACTTTTGTTCAAAGGGAACTATTTCTGAAGATGTGTCAATGATATTGGCTGAGTAGGGCCCTTTGGCTTTGCTTCTGAATGCTTATAGCAATAAAGTCTCCATATCATTTCTTTGCTATAAAAAGCATCCATGGTATCTATGGTTTCCTTGGCACATTAGAGTGGAATTAATAGTGGAGGCTGTGGAAGTGTTGTGCTGGGGACTGCAATGCCAGATGGGCAATCTTCAAGCTTCAGCACTGGCATTGGAGAGCTAGGCATGTATGCCTTTGTAATCTGGCCCAGTGTACATTGTCACCTATCTTGGCATTTCTAGGCCAGCTGATTAATGGGCCTCTTGGTGGCTTTCCCATAAGCCAATTATGATAGCAATGTATCAGGTGTGTAAGGATTCTCTTGAGCCTCCTGGCTTGCTAGTGTAGTTTGGGCAATGGAAGCAACAGTAGTAACATTCTCTTCTGGATCCCAAGCAATGTATACTTGTGTTGGTGGTGGTTGCAGTGGTCTGTGCAGGCTGGCCCCTAGGCCAGCATATTTATGGCACTGGCAGGTAGGAGACAGCTGAAGTGGTGGGATGTACAGATCCAACCTCAGTGCCCTAGAAGGAGTGCTTGGTTGTCCCAGGTGGTGGATTGGAATGTGTAGTCCCTCAGACCATCAACCCTGTATTGTCTTAGAATTGAAATGAACCCAGGCAGAGCTGGACTGGGCAGGCTTAATCTTAGGACCTGCAATGGGGAGCACATACACCAGCCATGGGAGCTGAGGGCAAAATGATCCTCAGGCCTCTGGTTGATTGCTAGGGTTAAGGGCAGCAGTTGCCACATTGAGATCCTGCCATGTGGAGGGTGTAGCCAGCTCCAGTGGCCACAGCCTTGGCTCATGAGTGGGGGACACATGCCCTTGTCATGCCCCAGTCTCAGTGGAGCTCATTCACCAGTCCAGACTATTACAGTGGACCCAGGGAATCTGTCAACCTGGAAGTCTGCACCACACTCACAGCTCAGCCCCAGGCATTCAGAGTGCCCACACAGCTCAAGATGAAGAATTCATGGCAGCCTGATTCCTCCTCAACCTCTAGAGGAGACACCCCTTTCCCACCACCAGCCCACTAC